CTAAACTCAGTCAGTCAGTCTTATTTACACACTTCCAAACATTTGGGTTGCTGTGGACAGTATTTCAAAACATGGGATTTTATGTCTTAGCCACTGAGACAAGATAGAAGTTGGGGAATCATGATGACATGGAACTGTTTGTGATAAAGTATTCACTTGAGTTGATGAGGTAGAGACAATGAGTATGTTAAATCTCATCTTCAAAGAGCTTATTATATACATATTCCAGTTTTAAAAAAGTACAAAAAAGGTTCCTTTCATGGAATGGTAGTTTTAAGCTTGGTATTGAGTTTGATCGGCACCTGATATGGAAATGCAGATTCTTTTCTTTTAATCTGATCTATCAGCAAATTAATTTTCCCCAAATGGCTGCCAAACTGCAATCATTTACAACTATCTATTTATCAGGCATTGGCAAACAAGCCGAGGACAGATAGCTTTTGTTTATTCCTTTGTCTGTCAAACATAATAGCCAATAGTTCGTAATCTATCACCTAACCCAGACAGTTTTTCATGAACTAATCTACAAACTATCACACTTATGTCCCAGATTGAACAATATTTCACGTTTCTTTTCTTCACTGACAAGCAATGTGCGTATTAGAGCTCATCAAAGGCATCTTAGTTCAATTCCGCAGCAAATAGGTCTTACAAACCAAGTCAATTAAGAGTTCTCCATGCAGGTGCAATAATGTTATCAACCAATTTTATAGGTCATACCGATTGTATCCCAATCAATGAGTAGTCAATATTTGACCTTTCCGTTTTCGTATGGCACTGCCTAGATATGGTGGTATGTGATAGCATTTATCAGATGGCATGGCACCAAGTCAAAGATCAGGGCTGACAACCTTGACGAGGGTACAATATCGCTCTCGGGCAATACATTTGTGAGGACTGTAGACTGTGGTATGTTTGACAGTGAGAGTGAATGGCTGTAATTAAACTATTGTTATACATGTAAATGCAGTGTGACTTTCATTCTTCTTCTGCTAAAGGAAATAATTATTACAGATTTGTTTGTTTAGAAAAGTACTTGCAACAACAGAATTATATTCTAACCTTGACAAATTTAATGAATGAGTGATACCATTTCCCCAGCAACTTTTTCAATATGACCATGAACATCTCATTTGGAAAATATAATATTTATAAAATAATTGTTTGTTTCATGTAATATTCAAGCTGTATGATGACAGCATACAAATGATCTGACTAGAGAAACACCCCACATGATTAAAGTAATATGACAATGAGGTCACCTAGCCTGTCATCAGAGATGATTTGAATCCATCAATTTCAACCTTACACCAAGAACAACCATGCCTGCTGTTTCAGTAAAACACCTTACTGCCTTTGTTGAAAGCTTTACATAGCTGTTCCTGATCATCAAATTCAAACATTTAAAAATATGTGTACTTGTCAGAGCACTTTGGAAATCATGGTTGCCAGACATGGAAATATTTTATTAGAATTTTTAATATGTTTTATTCAACTCATAATGTCATAAAAACACAACCTCTGAAATTATCCTAGCTACAAGTCTGGATCAGACAAACCAGTGATTGATATCATGAGCATCTTCCCACATGGCTGGGAACAATGACAGGTAATCATTGAAGTCACCACATCTGATCAACCAATCAAGGTAAACACTTGGTATGACAAGCATTGGTTCCTGGCAACTGAACCAAGCCTGACCACCCAGTCCATTTAGTCACTGTCTGACCACCCAATACATTTAATCACCTGCCTGACCACCCAGTACATTTAATCACCTGCTTGACCATCCAATCCATTTAGTTACCTGACTGACCATCCAATCCATTTAGTTACTTAACTGACCATCCAATCCATCTAGTCACCTGCCTGACCACCCAATGCATTTAATCACCTTCCTGACCACCCAATCCATTTAATCACCTGCCTGACCACCCAATCCATTTAATCACCTTCCTGACCACCCAATGCATTTAATCACCTTCCTGACCACCCAATCCATTTAATCACCTGCCTGACCACCCAATCCATTTAATCACCTGCCTGACCACCCAATCCATTTAATCACCTTCCTGACCATCCAATCCATTTAATCACCTGCCTGACCATCAAATCCATTTAATCACCTGCCTGACCACCCAATCCATTTAATCATCTGCCTGACCATCCAATCCATTTAGTCACCTTCCTGACCATCCAATCCATGTAGTCACTGCCTGACCACCCAATCCATTTAATCACCTTCCTGACCATCAAATCCATTTAATCACCTGCCTGACCACCCAATCCATTTAATCACCTGCCTGACCACCCAATCCATTTAATCACCTTCCTGACCATCAAATCCATTTGATCACCTGCCTGACCACCCAATCCATTTAATCATCTGCCTGACCATCCAATCCATGTAGTCACTGCCTGACCACCCAATCCATTTAGTTAACCCATACAAGAATAGGTGCTTCTTGTAGCCACTAAATTGTCAAAAAAGATCATCTAATATTGCAGATATATTATCTAAAGAATCTACTTCAAATGAACACAAAAAAACCCATTTCTAATCAATCACAAAAAATTAAATGTAAAGACATTTTCACATAAATAATTGAAACAATAACACAAAACCTCATTTCAGCCTTACTCCAACATCAAGCTCTTTTTCCAGTATGACGCTACCGTGTCTCTACAGCTTTACTAGCCAAAGGAATATCAACATTCATGCTGAATAGCTAATAATCTATATCCAGTGGATAACCAACATCTCGTAATTAACATGATTACCAAACATGTCACTGACAACAGCAATCAACGACAAATGTAACCCACACCTGTCAATCAAACCTGTGTCATTACTGAGTATTTATGTACCTTCTCACGCCTCTACATATTGATTGACGGAAATCAAGCAGTAACATGGACGAGAGGAACACATTTGCATGGATTGTGAGGGCTTTATAGCATTGAGGACTTACAAAGAAACAATCTTAATAGCATCAGCTGATCCATCAAGACTGTCATTACACGCGCTTGTCACTGGTATTATTGAACCTGCTTGCTAGATGAAGTGGACATTAGTGTGTTCAGGGAAAACAACAATTTCAGGATTCTTTTCGTAACAAATCTATTTTATGAAGCATGGATAGGGAGATAAGTGAAAATACTTCAAGTTGCCATAGCAGGTTTGGGTTTGTTTACATTATTTGCAGAAAATAAACAACCGAAAAGAAAAATACAGCCTTTGATTTTGTGTCAGACATGCTAGGAGCTTTCAGTGCTAATGTTTCAAGGGTTTGAAAACACTACGTGAAAACATACAGTCGTTATTTGATATAGGGGAGGGACAGGGCTGTGATCAAGCACACAAATAACAAAACATATAAATAGTTTCACAACAACGAACAGTTACTTGACTCATTATTACGCATTACAATATAGACAATGATAAATTCTGTTGTTACCACCCCTATCCCGGATGTGATAAGCCTACGAATATGTCAGCTAAGTACAAATACATTTGGTTTGAGACTGTAATCCATGATATGGCTTAATACAGCTGTCACTCTCACAACAAATAGTGATGAGTGTTGGGTAGCTGAGGAGAAGATATGCAGACAGACAAATAAACAGTTTATTTAAGTCTCACCAAGGGTACACAATATGGACATATGTTGTGATATTAACAAAAGTAAAAGTGCCATTCTTTATAGAATTATGAGAGACTGGGATAATACTGGGATGCATGATATAGTTTAACATAGTTTTCACCTTCACAATAGATAAGGGTGGGTGGAGTGAGTGAGTGAGTTAAAATTTTAAGTCACATCGGCAATATTTCAGCCATATCGTGACTAGGGTGGGTGGAGGGTGGTGTGGGCAGAATATAGGCAATGAAGCAAACAAGAATGAAAACAGCATAAGAAAGTGAACTCTTAATTGAATCTAACACTAGTTTGGCATTTCACAGAAAAAAAGCTAGGTTCCATGAATGAACTGAGTCATCTGCTGCTAACACTACAGTATGTGGCAAAGACAAAATCTAACCAAATCTATTTCTTGTAAAAATATTCCCAAGCAATAACACAAATCTAACTCACTCATCCAATGAAACAGACCTACATTGACAAAATGAAAATAAGTTGGTTCCCAAATTCACCACACTGAAAGCAGGAAATATAAAAACAATGGAACGGTTAAGGAATGGAGATGATATCATACATTACATTTCTATCCTTTGCTCATTACAACTGTCAGAATGCAAATTTCAGTGTTCAAAAGTAAGCCTAAAAGTCAAGGGATCCTCGTCCAGGGTGAGTGCATGAGTGAGTTTAGTTTTACGCCGCTTTTAGCAATATTCCAGCAATATCACGGCGGGGGACACCAGAAATGGGCTTCACACATTGTACCCACGTGGGGAATCAACCCGGGTCTGCGGCGTGACGAGCGAGTGCCTTAACCACTAGGCTACCCCACTGCCCTCTTTGTCCAGAACAATGACCAAAATGTGAAACGTTTGAAATTAAGAGGTCCCCAGATTCAATTACTATAGAAGAAAATAATGGGACCTCAGAAACTGTCTTTACTTTGAATGTTACTTCATTTTAAACAATTTGAAGCTGATTTTGACACATGACTTTCCGACAGTTTGAAATTCATAAAGGATAGCCAATATGCAATGCAGACATGTATCATAAATACTATGTTCACAATAAAGCACACATGGCTCCTTGTTATTAACCCCAGTGTTAAGAGTTATAGATTTAGAGGATCCTAAGATTAGATAACATAGACATTATCATGGCCTCAAGAACCCCCTTGGTTTTGAACAGTGTAAGCATATACATATATGGAAATATATATTACATTTTTGAACTATACACCCTTGCAACCTCACACAAACATCTATCTAGCTCTATCTATGATCAACTATGTCTATGTATGTAAAAAATGCCTCTAAAAACACCAGACCAACACATAATATATATGTTATCATATCATATTACTTGGTATACTGGTCTGCACCCAACGCTTGATCTACCACACTGAAAAGCAGATTTCAGTACACAAACATAATAAAATCTGATAGGGACAATGTTTTGTCGTAAGTCACAAGTCATTTGGCCCTTACAAAGTTCAAACACAACATCAAGTTTGTTTCTTATACAGATTTTATATACTCTGATATATTGCTTGTTGGTATTATTTAATATATTTTGGAAAAATGCATTACAGTAGATATAGTGGTTTGATAAAGCAAGAAACAGATCAAGGCCACCGGCTGTGTGAGATAATACATGTTAACACATGGTTCTAGGCATTGGAAATACCTACTGGGGCATATCTCTGTAAACATGTAATGCTATCTCAGTGAAAATGCTTACAAGAACATAATACGGAATTGAGGCTAAACCATTTAAATTATCATCAGGGTTGTTTCAAGGTTAATTTCTGACAGATACTTCTTGAAATTGAAATTTTAACAAAATACAAATTGCTAAAAAAATAGTTACATTGTAGTTGTAATTCTTATGTCTTATATGTAACAGGTTCTACTATAGATTAAAAAAATAGACTGATCTAGCCTTAATGGAAAACACCCAGACAAATTTATTAAAAACAAAAACACTTACAATAGAACACAAATACAATACAACACTATCACAGGTACAACACTTAACAACTTGCATTCTAAAAGATTTAAGATAATAATAACTAATAACCCTAATATATAATTATTATCAGGGAAATCAACTCCAGTTCTGCCTTTCTGTAGTCTCACTACAGGTGTGTGTTAGTTAAAACATAATACTTGTGTTTTATGTAACTTGGCTGACCAGTTGTATAACTGAGACCCAGATATTTTATCACAGTTAGAAGGAGCTGCCAAGAAATTCATGTACCTGTATTTACATATTAAAATAATTTAGATGTTTCTGCATAATATTTTGGCCAACAAAAGCAAGAAATATTGCATCTAACATCACTTCGTACCAAGCCATCCAATTTGAAAAAAATTAAATCTGTACAAATACCAACCATCCAAGATCAGTCAGTGCCTAGTTAGCAGAAACACAAGTATTTCTTTTTTGTCCCTACAACACAAGTTTAAAACAATCCCACACATGCAGTTACAACACTTAACATTACTACTTACGGATTGACTTGCCGCTCAACGACTGGTACTAGTTTCCCACCAACTATTTTGGAGCGGAACATGGGTGTGTTTTCGGTACCAAAAGGAGCATACCTTGTGGATGTATTGACATGATGCAAGTCAAACTGCTGTTGCTCGCTCTGAAATGAGATACATGAAAGACTCTTAGTTAATACAGTCAGCAACATAGTTGTCATGGATACTAAAGATGTAACGATACAGTGCAATATGCTATGTAGCACAATAATATTGGTTCAAAATGGTACAATACCATTATAAGTTCATATTTTCTCTCTTTTTGCAGGTGAATCACAATCACATCTGTTTTCAAATTTCAGAGAGCAGAGATGGGATGTTGTAGAAGAGAAGCATATAAGCATGGGTGTTCTATACAGATTCAGCAATTTATAGCCAATCAGGAAGTTTTAGAGAATCTGCATAAATTAGTTCATGAACAGTGTGTTATTATGTACATGTTTTACATCAATATTGCTGTTAATGTAATAAATCAAATGTAAGGCGATAGAGTTGTAAATTGAGCCTCCTATCGCAATACAACACTGTACTTAGTGTACTACCATATTATTTTGGTTCACAGCTGTGCCACCTAGCAAGAGGTAGTTCTGAAGTGTAATGACAAAGAATATAAGAATTTGTTATCCATAAAAAGTGTCACGTCTTCATGTTCTTCCAACTTCTAAATGCCCATTAAAGACTCTATGATACCAGGTATTTGAATGAGCACATCCTCATCCAACTTTAGTATCATCAGAAACACATGCAAAGGCAAGTAAAGTGACTATCTGAAACAAACCACAAGAACCTATGGTGCAAGTCAGGGAACTTTATCAGACATTAGTTTACTTATGCATCAATTTGGAAATGTCCTCCACATGTCTACCATAAATGTTGTCGAATGTTTCACTGAGGCACTGATTGCTGTGAACCTGATCAAACAACTTTTGAGCAAGAGTTGTACAATACTGTTAGAAATGTTTGTTGAATAGACATGATTAATGTAGACACCGAAGACTGCAATTTGGGGAATGTGGCTCAACATGAAGAGAAAGTTGATTATTGGATCGTCCCACTTTTCATACAGACTAATGGATACTCTAAATCTTTATGTATAGATCTAATTAACAAACAAAGGTGTTTTCTCTTATATTTCTAGTTCAGGAAGGTTAATAAATGGAAGGAAATATCTGAATGATATTAGATCACTTCTTGGACAAAATTTGGTGTTCTGCTTTGCCAATCCTGCAGAAATTCTGTAAACATTCACCAGCATATAATGCTGATGCCAAAGTCTTGAATGAGAACTAGTGGTGAGTTTCATTCATAGAAAACTAGCTATTGATTTCAGCATGAAACTTGCTACCAATACATCAGAAGAATCAACCCACAAGATCGATCTGAAAATATCGAAAATGAAATCTCAAAGATCACAATGTAATTTTCACATATGAACATTGATCCTTTTCATAACCCTTCAGTATAACTCAACAAGAATGTCATTATTTCTTTGCAGCCTCAATCAGTGTACAGCCAATAAGGAGAGTACCACTGAGTGGCATAGTCCATTCTGTGAATATCTTATCAAGATGTATTGACTCACATTTTTAATTTACTTTCAGTTTGTGTACAAATCATTTCCCACATAAAGACCAATGATGTCTTCTTGTTGAAAACCTGGTAACAGCTAACCACCACATTCGACAGCCAAGTGCATACACTTACCGGTAACTCATGAAACATACACAAGGCAATCCTCTACTAACAACAAAAAACTGTTTTGGCAACAGACAATTTTTTAAAGATTTATTATGTTAATTTGATAATCAGACCTGCAATGTAGAAGTTTAAGATATAAGTTATGCAGTCATAAATAAATCTGTCTAACAAGGATCATGACATCTAAAACAGAACATAAAAAATACAATATTACAGGAAGTGAAAGACCAATTTCTCAACATGCTGTTGCATTATGTCATTGTATTCAATGATATTGCTACAAAAGCCTCTCTCAAACTACCTCATAGTACGTCTTCAGTTGATGTTACTGTTATTAGCTGAGGTTAATTACAACATGTGTAAAAGCTTTTAAGATAAGCTGGGAAAGCAACAGATGAGGTTCTGCCACACCAAATAAGAAACAGATTTTTGGACAGCTATATTCAAAGAGAAGATGGAATACAGAGGGTTAATGTGCCTAGCTCAATTACTGTTATTAGCTGAGGTTAATTACAACATGACTAAATGCATTTAAGATAAGCTGGGAATGGTTGGTTATTTTCACTTATCCATACATACTATTTCATTGTTATAATAGTTTAATTTCAAACTATTCGTCATTTCATATGATAAAAAAGTACTTAGACACAAATATAATGCTATCAAAATACAAGTTAAATCCCAAACACGCTTAAATCAAATACCATCATCAGGTTAGATAAGGCCTAGACAGTCAAGTGTTCTGACAACAGAGGACCTAAGTGAAACCCTGCAGACAAGACACAGCCCTCTGGAAAATTGTCCTCGGTAGCCATGCTGTAGATTTGGAACATTTGACAACTGTTCTCAGGGCAGAGTTGCTGGGAGAAGGAAGACAGTTGATATTGTTTACCTGACAACTGAAAACAGTTGGTCTAACAACTAACTACTAGATGGACTCAAACAATGTCAACGTAAGATGGATAAGCCACTCTCATTGTCATTCAAAATTTATTACAGTTACCATTTGGCTACTATATTCAGTATTGGTTCTTGTAGGAGAAGGACTTAAAAGTAAACATAAACATTCATGGATAACAACTGTTGCTAATGTCATTTGTTTACTTTGTTGTCTATAAAGTTGTACCTTTTCTTATTCACCGTTTCAAGAATGCCAACCAATAGGTTAGATTTGAAGTGTCTTGTGTTCATTTAATTTATATTAAATTTTCCAATGAAAGAGAATGGAATAATATTTTTAGATGATTGTTTTTAAAACAAAATGTTCAAAGACAATTGCATGGACCATGACTTTTGGGCAGAGTGAATTTGAACAGTATTTCAGTTATATCAATGTGCTGGTGTGAAAGGAACGCCAGAAATTACGTTAGTGTTAAACCCCTTATCACTTCCTTGAAACTTACAATCACTAGCATGGTGCTGACAAATATAGAAACATTAGAAAGGAAAACTCTGGATTCAAACTAAAGGTTTTAGAAAGCAACAGAAGAGGTTCTTACACACCAAATAAGAAACAGATTTTTGGACAGCTATATTCAAAGAGAAGATTAAATACAAGGGATAATGTGCCTAGCTCCCTGTATGCAAAAAAGGAACTGGCTAAGCTAGCAATTTGTGTTTTCATTGCAGATTTAAGGACAAACTGAGCATACATGTACTTGCAATATGTGCTGGAGTGACTGATCAAATAAACGGTCAAGCCATCGATCTCGCTTGCATCAGTGATTATCGATGGGCTCAGGAGACTAATCGATCCATATTCATAAAAAATTAAACATCAAATTAAACTTTAGAAAGTATGTTTGTTATTGTTATGTTTGTTAAATCAAGACATCAACAAATGATGCAGTTTCCTGACTCGTAAAACTGCAATATATACAACATACTCTCGTGTATGTCTCATAAGGTAGCATCCTCAATCATCTTAATCCTGCTATTAATCGGAGCCTGTTTCATTTGCACAGTGTTATGATTATGTTCCGTTATTGCCCACATGAGTTTTGTGGTGGGGTTTACAATTACAACTGCTGACTGACTGAGTTTGGTTTTACGCCGTTTTTAGCAATATTCCAGCAATATCACGGCGGGGACACCAGAAATGGGCTTCACAAATTGTACCCATGTGGGGAATCGAACCCGGGCCTTCGGCGTGACGAGCAAACGCTTTAACCACTAGGCTACCCCACCGCCCACAATTACAACTGATTTTTGCTCAATTACCTAGCTCCGATTATCGATCTGCATGTGAGCGATAACCAGCACTACTTGTCATGGCTGTTGAATATATAATAAATTATAATGTTACTTGGGCTTTTATGATTCACTCAAATATTCGGACGATCAAACCTTAAATTCCTTCATGAATTCAGTTTGTTATTGTCGTCAGTGACCATTATCTTCACAATATTTACACATCAAAACATGTCAAATAATATATTCTCTTATTTCTTGACTGTATATAATGAATAAAAATGAGAGGCCCAGATAAGCTGCGTATCCGGGTAAAATACTCATAGAAAATTCCCATTTACGCATTGAAAAATAATTGTTGCGTACCATTTACGCATTTAAAATGTAAGATACGCAAAAAGTTTAAAACAAATGTGTACGGAATATATTTATAAAAATCACTTGCATAATGAAAATGACATTGATTGCTATCAGTATAGGGCAAGTGTTGTACTGTCAGTACAGGATGAGTGATTTCCATTATATTTAAGTTGGTTTTGATTAGGTATGACATAAGGCAGAACATACCTGCTTAGTAAACTTACTCAATGACATAATACTTAAGTGAGTAAAATGACTGAAATACGCACATATTTGAAAGTAGCGGGTAACAGAAATTGAAATACTCACTCAACATTTATAATACCCACTCCAAAAAAATACAGTGGGTACAGTACCCACATGAGCTAAATCTTATCTGGAGCTCTGAAAACATCAACTGGTGATTATGGTATTTCGCAAAATGTTCGTATTCATTACCCTGTAGCTGTGATGTGTCTTGTATTCGCCTCACAGCCCTAACATTACTGTAGAAGAAGGATAACATTTGGTTTAAGGTACCCTAAATAACTTCACCACCCATGCAACAAGAACCAAACTAAGTTCCTAAACAGAACTACCCCTGTACAAACAAAAAGCTGTACTTATGATAGGGAAGACAATCTTCCCATGGCTGGGCAACAAAGGTATTACAAAACACTCAAAGATTTTGAACATTCTGATCCCAAGTGAAAATCATTAACATGTTACAAGTACATTTTTTCAGTTATTTTACCCAAAGCCTCAAAGGGTTACCACATGCTGTGAATTTCACAACTTTGTAGGGGGCATCTACAACAATGATCTGCTAAAAGGTGATTCAGGTGTCGTTATTCCTTTGGTAAATGGACACTGATTT